TGTCATGCCCTCTCGTGTTCGGCGGAGGCTTTGAGACACACTGAGCTCATCTGAATCAGTGATCTGTGCAGTCAGACGCTGTCTGCTGAGAGCTGATTAGGTCTGTCTGACTCTGAGTGCTGGAACTCAAGGCAGTATAAGTGGACTCTCCGTCGAAAGCCCCTGCGGAGCAACCCTGCACACACTAGAGCTCCATCTCTCTTTCTCTCTATCCCTCATCTGTCCACATCTGTCTGGACAACCGTAGAGTGGCTTTATCCTCATCAGTCACCAAATGGAAGCGCACTAGTACTTACAAACACTAACACGATCACACTGAATGCTGCATGTTAAATAGCTAAAGATGTTAATGCAATAAATAAATGGAAATTTGGAGCACATGAAATGGGATATTGTAATATATGAACATATAGCTAATATAATATACATATACATATAACTAATCATATTAGTATGATTTCTGAAGGATCATGTGACACTGAAGACTGGCGTAACAGCTCCTGAAAAAGCTTTGCTAATCCATTAAGTTTTGTACATTGTGCAGTTTAGGTCATTACACATAATTATACAAGAGCATAATGTCAGGACTAGACATTATCTACATGACAAGTGATTTATGTATGAAAATGTGCCACGAGCTGCTTGAAGTATAACCCCAATAAAGCTTCATCAAAACCTAATAAATGATTTTGCAGTGCGCGCGCAGAGCTGATATCAGGAGGTTTAAAGGTCAGCTACAAGGCCTCGGCCCAGATGTACCCTAGAGGCGAGTAAATGGCAGCCCCTAATTTAACATATCTGCTGTTCTCATGCCACTGGCACCACTGCAGAACATCAGAATAGATTAATAATGGTTGCCTCTTCCAGAAATTAAATACATTTATTCCATACAACAATAACCAGTGCTGGGTAGATTACTTACTAATTGTAATGACTAAATGTGATCCGTTACTTATTACATGACAAACATTGTAGTTAGTAATGTAATCCATTACATTAAACATTTTGGGTAATATGATCAGACTACTTTTTGATTACTTTTAGATTACTTTTGACTTAATTCGTTTATCACATTGATTTAAATTGGATAATCTTGTACCATATTGATATAAAAATACAAAGAATAATTGCATTTTTAAAAGCATTTTTAAGTGTAAAAAATAGAAATCTTCAAAATGTTAGTGTTTTTACTGTATTTTTTATCAAATAAATGCAACATAAGAGATTGAAGTGACAAATGTCTTAAAGATACCAAACTTGCGATTGAATGGTAAGATACTTGAATACATGTTCAGTACAATATATATTCAATCAAAATTGTTCATTTTCCTCGTATTTTATAACAGTAAGACTTTATAATCACGTGCAGAAGAATATGCATTTTTTTTTAGCTAAAAAATTAATCACTCACAGCACACAATATTAGCAGGCAATGTCACAGCATGCATTTTTAAAATGAGTTTTTAATGGATAATTTGTTAGTTTTGAATAGAAATTACAAATAACCATTGCCCCAAAGGAACTAATTAGTTGACTACTATTATATT